CTTGTAATTTTGGTGTCATATCCAAGAAAGTTTTATCTAATACAAGGTAATGAGATTTATGCTTATAATCTTTTTGAAGAGCTTTATGCTTTCAAATCTGATGTAGAGGCTGTTTTTTTTTAATTTTATAATTTGGGGACTAAAGGTACCAGAAGAATGTCTTGGTGTGATCACACTTGAATCTATATTTTAGTTAGTAATCAAATTTGGTGATAAAGAATTCTTAATAGCTGGTAGAGTCTGTTTCTCAATTGTTGTTGCTGGTGGTTTTGTTAAGTTCAGTCAAGTCAGTTCCGACTCATAGGGACCTTGTACACACCAGAACGAAGCACTGCCCAGTCCTGCACCAGCCTCACCATTGTTGTTATAATTGAATCCATTGCTGCTGATTGTGTTATATTGAACTTTAAAACTTACAGCTAAATAGTTTAGATGTTTTGCTTCTTTTATTCTTGCAAGTTTATTATTTTAGAAACATTTAATAAGTATTAATCCATTACAAATCTTGTTTAGGCTCTGTCCAGGCTCAATGCCAAGTAAGGTAGGGAATTAATTGATATAATAAATAGCACCCAAGTGACATGGACGATTGACTTGCTGACTTTTAATAATAGAACAACTTTGGCAGTAGGTGGAATATAGATCACTGCATGTGGGAAAGTAGACGATGACAAAGAGGATATGTAAACAAGATGATTATAGTCTGCTACATACATGTTACATGAAAAGTGACTTGTAACCCTTAGTGATTAGAATAGATGGTCATGTGTCCAGACCTCTTAGGGAATATATTACAGATTTGCAAACTATGATTAGCTATTTATATTTAAATACATTGTGTTTTGCTTTGACTATTCCTTTTTAATTCATTATTTGTTTCAGGGATCCATACTTACAAAATATAATTTCCTCTATTATTGTGTATGCTGGGATTAGCCATCCATACTTAATTAATTTAGTATCTTTTTAGTTTGTTTTTCCTGTTTTCCAAAATAGTGACTTTCTATACACTTTAAATTAATATTTAGAGGAAGATGGAGTAACACTGAGGGTAAATACTACTACTTATTGAATAAAAATGTGCTAATGCTAAGTTACTATGTTGAAAATTAAAAGAGAAAACTTTTCAAAAACTCATATCTGGATCATCATGTCTCTAGACATGATTATTTCACTGTATCTAATGTGCATTTACAGATGATCGTTTTCACAAATAATAGCATTGAACCTTATCAAATACAAATATTCACAGAAAAATATTAGGCAAAATTTTCACCTTCACATACCAATAGGTTGTTCTCTGTATTTTTTGTACACCTCCTTGGCACCATTTTTTATTGCAGCCATAAAAGAAGTTATTGGTACCAATCATGCTTCCTTATTATGCATTGGTAAACCAAATACTGTTTTTGTTTTATGTCTTGTATTTGTCTTCTTTCTACCTGCAACATCATTTCCCAAAGTCAAATGATTTTTTTACGACTTAAGTAACTATTATTAAAACAATTTAAGTAGCCTTTCACTGCCATTTCACAACCATTGCATTTGATATTGCAAACCAGAAGTCATTTATAATATCAGTATTTCTCAAGCTGGGGGAACTGAAGAAAAAATTCAAGCCTCAACTTTCGCTATTGAAAGATTCACTGGGCAAATTATTGAATGATGCAGAATGCATCAAGAAAAGATGGAAGGAATACACAGAGTCATTGTACCAGAAG